GAGATGGAGGAGTGAGAAGAATAAGGTGAAGGCGGAGTTTAAGTTGCAGTTTCATGTCACTAAGGTATGTTTGAGATTATTGATTTTTATTTTGTTTTTCTTTTTTTTTATGATTTCGCTTTTGGCCTGGACATTGACCTTGATTTTGGAAGTTTCTTTTCCGGTGTTCAATTACATATAGCTGGTTTTAGATTGAGTTTGTGTTATGGAGTTTGGAGCATTACTTGAAGTTAGCTGTAAAGATTGCTGGAAATGAGAGCAGTGTCTGAGTCGTTGATGTCCTCCACTTGGAGCTGATAAATTAGAGTATTAATGGATTTGAGACTTTTCTGTCGATTTGAACGGACGGGATAGAAATGGATTAATACATGCGTGCCCGTGAACCTTTCTATTTGTTGTTTTCTTCACTGCAAACAGAGCAAGATTGTTTGGCTGGACTGGATTATGAAGATTGTAAATGTAATTGATTTCAGGTGTCACACTCAGTGGTGGATGCATTGACGTTATCCATCGTTCCTGGAGATGTGGGAAAGGCAACAGCAAGACTGGATAAAGGCACAGTTTGTGATGGATATTGCAAATGGGAAAAACCAGTTTATGAAACAGTCAAGTTCGTGCGGGACACAAAATCTGGGAAGATCAATGAGAAAATCTATTATTTCCTCGTCTCAACGGTATGTATGGAAGGTCTACCTTCTATTTATTTTGTTGTCAATTATAATGTACACTACATTTGCAGTTTAATTGGGGTATTCATGTAGGGACGGGCAAAATCTAAGGTGTTTGGGGAGGTTTCTATCAACTTAGCTGATTATGCAGATGCCACAAAACCTTCTTCCATTTCGCTTCCCCTAAAGAACTCAACTTCTGATGCAGTTTTACACGTGAGTATTTTCAACTTTTAATTTGAATTTCTGTGTGAATCTTTCATTTTTAACAAGGAGTTTATTCTTTTTGAACATTAGGAGTCTGTTGAGCTCTGAAGTTTCATCATCCAGTGTTAATTAAACTTTTGCTTCGTCATTTCATAGGTTTTGATACAGAGGTTGCAGTCTAAAATTGAGCCAAGGTGTGAATCTATGGTTTCGAGTATTATTCCTTTAGTGGTTGCAAAGATTCAAGAGGTTATTTTGCTAATGTTTGACTGATCTTTTACAGAGAGGTGGAGGATTTTGATGATGCCAGCGTTAGATCCCAGGAAACGAACTTGAAATCATTCTTGAGCAATAGTGAAATAGATGAATGCACTAAAAACAATTGTACTGAAGTAAGGATCCATTTCCAACTAGCATACTAAGCACCTTCTCTCTTTTACTGTTTTTCAGAGATTTCATGGCCAGTTTTCTAGACTAGCTTTTAGCTTGTAGACTAATCAATTAAAGTTTTTCCACAGCTATTGTCGCTATAATTCTTTCCTATTCTTTGTGTTAATAGGATGAGCAGATTTGCAAGAACCGTCATGATTTCGAACTGAACGGTGACTGTAGAGCATCAAGTGGATCTGATATTACATTGTCAAGCTCTGAGAGCAGCTCTGGATTTGATACTCCACGAGAACATAGAGCGAGAAAGAACAACCACCTTCAGCCTGTTAGTTTATCTTCACTTCCGCAGAAATCAGTGACATTCCTTTCAACGACCACTGATAAAGAGAATCAGAGATCACAATCAATGTGGTCCCTTGGTTCCGATCATGGAGTGAGCGTAGATGAACCATCAGATGATATGCCTCCCAGAGAAAGGTCTGGATTAGTTACGAGGTCTGAAAGAGATGCAGATATTGAGATTGAAAAGCTCAAGGCTGAGCTTGTTGGTTCTTCCAGACAGGCAGAAGTTTCAGAATTGGAACTACAGACGCTTCGAAAACAAATTGTCAAAGAAAGTAAAAGGGGTCAGGATCTGTCCAAAGAAATTGTCATTTTGAAAGAGGAAAGAGATTCACTCAGGGTGGAGTGCGAGAGACTCAAAGCGAAATCCAAAACCAACGTAGAATTGGAGGATAAGAAAACTGCGGCTCTTCTGGAAGAAATGAAGGAAGAACTAAACCAGGAGAAGGAATTAAATGTCAATCTTCGACTACAACTCCAGAAGACCCAGGAATCTAATGATGAATTGATTCTTGCAATGCGAAACCTAGAGGAAATGTTAAAGCAGAAAAAAGGTGAAAAGGTCCATCTCTATGACAGATCAAGATTTTCTGAGAATGCTGAAGAGTTTTATAATTCTATCTCGAAGTGTGAATCTGAGGATGATGAGGAGCAGAAGGCATTAGAAAAGCTTGTTAAGCAGCATAGTAATGCAAATGAAACATATCTTCTGGAACAAAAGGTTATTGACCTATATAGTGAAGTAGAATTCTACAAGAGAGAAAAGGATGAATTAGAAATGCATATGGAACAACTAGCACTTGACTATGAAATACTGAAACAGGAAAATCATGGCATGTCATATAAACTGGAGCAATGTGAACTGGAAGAGAAACTCGACATGAATGAAGAATGCACGCCCTCCGCTACCATAGTAGAGCTGGAAACGCACATAGACCACTTGGAGAGGGAGCTTAAGCAGCGGTCCCAAGACTTCTCTAGTTCTTTGAGCACCATAAAAGAACTTGAAGCCCATATCCAGTCCTTGGAGGAAGAACTGGAGCAGCAAGCTGAAAAGTTTGTGGCTGATCTAGAAGGAATGACACGTGCCAAAATTGAGCAGGAGCAAAGAGCCATCCTAGCAGAGGAGGACTTGAGAAAGACAAGGAGGAGAAATGCTGATACAGCTGAGAGGCTCCAAGAGGAACTCAAGAGGCTTTCAATGCAGATAGCCTCGATATTTGATGCAAACGAGAAGGTAGCTGCTAAAGCAGTGGCAGAATCTATCGAGCTGCAACTGCAGAACATTCAGTTAGATGAAAAACTTGCGTCTACTAGTAAAGAGTTTCAATCCGTTAAGAACGAGTATGAAGTAAAGCTCTGTGAACTCTCAAACGTGGTAGAGTTGCAAACAAGTCAGATTGAACAGATGTTGTTAGAACTTCATACAAAGTCCAAGCTCCTTGACAAACAGGACACTCAAAAAGAGGTTTGCGAATCTCTCTGTAGGGAGATTTTCTCGCTCAAGTTTGAAATTGAAAGGCTCACAACAGAGAATAGGTCACTCAAGGAAAGCGAGAGCTGGATCCAGAACAAAAACATGGAAAGAAATGAGCTGGTATTAACCATTGCTTTGCTTATAAAAGTAGGCGAGAAGTTTCAAAACGAGTTAAATAGAATAAGGCATCGGAAGGATGAATATGAGGTATCAATGGGATGTCTACAAACAGAATTGGAGGTGCTCAGAGATCACTTCAATGACTTAAAACATTCTTTGGTCGAAGGGGAGATAGAGAAAGATAAACTTAGGACATCAGGTCTCTCAATTAAATGATGACCTAAAGAAGGTGAAAGAGTTCAACGGTGTCGACATGCTCTGGTACAGCGAGGAACACAAATCAGCCTGTGATGGAAATGGAGCTTTTACAGAAAATAAGTCTACTCCAGAAAGTAGCCCAAAGGAAGTCGCAGCTCTTATGGAGAAAATTGAGTTGCTTGAGGTATCCTCGAGACCCCCTCTTACATTAAAATCAAAAGACGCAGTGTCAAATGAAGATTTTCGCATGAATGATGCATGATCGCTTATGTTTCCAAGCCAAGCATCAACATTTTGTTTTGGAAGTTTCTGTAAATGGTCGATTTAATTTCAATTATGTTACTCAATTCGTGGATCCTATTTCCCGTTCCAGAGACAGGTGAACTTGAAAGAAGACGCCATAGAAACTCTAGCAAGTAGAATTTCAGAGAAGGCGATGGATTTTCAGCACACAATTGAAGAATTGGAGTGCAAATTGGAAGACGCTGTTCCTACTTGCACATATCAAGAGGTAGGAAATATGCATTATTTTAAGAAATGCAGATTCTAACCTCAATTGGTGTTTCAAAAGTAACGTTTTCTTTTTCATTTACATTTAAAACACACACACTTTACTGATTACAGAGGTAATTGTGGATAATATTGACATTGATTTCACCATTTACTTTTTTGGTGTCTGGATTTCTCGTGTTCGGCAGTCTTTCTCATGCTTATGCTTGTTTCCGTAGAAATATCTGGATCTCAAGGTTACTCATAATTTTCTTTGAAGTTGCATATATTTGTATGTCGTAATAACATCTCACGATTGATTTGGAAGCAGGTAAATAGGTGTCAAAGCAACATGAAAAAGACCAAGGATACAGTAGTGAACCAAGGCCAAAACACAAACTCTTCTTCATCCGTAGAATATGGGAACCTCATATCAGTTGGGAGGTATGTTAAAAAACAGATAATAATCTCTCTTCAATTTTTTTTTTCTTCTCATTCTCTGAATCTGGTTGTTCAATTAAACGAAAGAAACAATCAATTCCTGATTCTCTTCCTTGTTCTATTCTCCGCAGGAATGATAAAATTTCAGCAGAGACAGAATTGAAAGCCTGCAAACTTGACAACAGCCATACCAATTATGACCATTTTTCTACAGAATTAGAATTATTAAGGGAAAGAAACAAATTAATGGAAATTGAACTAAAGGAAATGCAAGAGAGATATTCAGAGATAAGTCTCAAGTTTGCAGAGGTAGAAGGTGAAAGACAACAGCTTGTAATGACTCTTCGTAGTCTTAAAAATTACAAGAAGATCTAGTAATTATTTCGTAGTACAGAAAAAAAGTAGCGTGATACCACACGAGACATTATGTTAGAGTAAATAAATAATTTCTTTGTAAATTATATAGCCCCCTCCTCCACCAAAAAAGATGAGAAAAAAAAAAAAAAGAAGGCAAAAGCAAACGGGAATCCAGAAATGTCCTCATCTGGACATTATCTGTCCGTGTGAGTCAAATATTTTTGGTCTGTTGAGCTTTTCTTTATTTATTTTTAAATTCTGTAATTATTTTCCCGAGCTTGTCATGAAATACACGAGTTTTTTTTTTTTTCCTTTTATTATTCCATGGTCAACAATTTGGGATGGGAAAGGGGAGAAAAGGAACTTTGTGAAAATAGAACTAGATCTCCTATGGTTAAACCTTTTTATTTTGCAGGGAAGTTCCAGTAATTAAGTCTGTTGCAGGCAGTGGCATTTGACAAACAATTCATCCCACCAAGCGTCATAACTGAAGCAACTTGAGGTGGTCCAGAAACCATCAAACATACTTTGTCTGGTATAAGAAATTCACTGACATAACATCCAGTGTAGAAGTAAGCATGTAAGAATGCGCTTTACAGGTATACCAACAGAACTCCATTCTATACTTCTCTATGGCTGCTCTAGTTCTCTTGAAATCTTTGAAGGGCAAACGGACAAATTGGTCAAGAAGCTGGATACTTTGGATCCAATTTGCAAGCTTGACTATGGGAAGCAAACACACGTCAGTCTTTCAGGCATTGTTCCAGGTTTGTCTCCTTTTCTCTCTGTTGAAACAAATGAATCATATTCTACGTTGAATCAACAGGTACATAGTGACAAGAGCCATGATGAGGGAATGATCTAAATTAGTCTGTAATAGGACCAAACTCATAACATCTTCTCCCAATTGAACTCCTAAAGATGATTGCTTTCTCTTTGCCTGCACAAACCCAAATGCTACTTACTTCATTTCATAACAAGTTAGCGTGACTAAAGTCATGCATCAATTACAAGTGGGAAAAACCAGAATTCGATTAAATCTTGTGGTTTAAGCCTCAAATGGACCATATGATACCGATGCAGTGTATGGAAGGGACTACCATGAATTGACCTAATGGTCCATAAAGACCATATAAACAATAAATGGTTTAAAAAGATGGGTTCAAGGTTACCTACAGGTAAACCCTAAAACTATGAAATTTTGTCAATTTAGTTTGAAACAAAAAGCCTTACCTCTGCAACAAGTCCTCCCCGGCTGTCTAATATTCTGAATGCTATTTTGCCCCAAAATCCCTCAAACCTATAGCACAAACTTGCCTGAGATTCATCTCCGCATAACTTTACATCACAGCTTAACTTATTACTGAAAACTCTGAGAATCTTTTTCGCTCTAAAGAATTGTTTTCTTTCCTCTGTATTTACGTCCTCCTCCTTAAATCCTTCCCAATCACATAAAAACCAAATACTCTGCCAAAGGAAACCAAAAAGAATCAATGAGGAAAAACAATGCTTGAAATGTACACAGTAATATTCAGTCCTTGTTCATGGAAACCCACCTTTCGACGCACCGTAAAGAGAAGTTTCCCTCTGAGATCCATCAAAAAGACTTCCCTGCTTCTCTTCTCATCATAATTGTCTATGCGATAAGCAACCTGACCATTTTCATTGAAAACAGTAAGGCCATTTCCTTGCATGATCAGGGACTTCATCCATACAGTGAAAGTCTCTGCCTTTAAATCGGCTGTCATGCAAGGAAAACAGGCTGCTTCACCATCAAAGACAGAAACTGCAGAAAATGAAACCTTTAGCCATTTGGGAGAGAAGATTCTGTCTATGATCCTTCAGCAATATCTAATTTTTTTCCTTTAATGGGATTCAACGTGTTAATCATGCATGAGGACATATAGTTTTGTTTTTTTTTTCTTAAATTTTATGATATGATTTCGATGTAGGCCGGAAGATTTGATTTTCGAACTAGTTGAGGTTCTCGACTTTCTTTTCTTAATTAATATCCGGATTACATCCTCCAATTATATTATTATTACTATTATATGTTATAATATTTGTGAAGAATATCCTCTTATTTTATTTTTCTTTCAGAATAAAGTAATGAATTTTGGCCATGCTGTCTATTTCAGTTTAGAAATTAGAATCAATAATTAGGATAGGAAGCATCATTACTGGTTGAACTTTATTCATTTATTTGTTAAAATGCATTGGTTTGACTTTCAAATTACCATAGAACTCCTAAATATCTTTGGTATATAGTAGGACTCCTAAATATCTTGAGTTTGGTATTTTAAATCACATGGAAAAGCTGTAATTGATCATAACTTGTTTGTCTTTTGGTTTGTTGCCATGATTATAATTTGGTGGGTATTGAATATATCCATTACATTATTATTGGAAATGCAAAACTTAATTGACAACCACAACAAAAGGTTAGAAATTATTCAAGATTATTGCATCTATTTTTATATTGTGATTTATTTTATTCAAATCTAATAATAATAATAAATTGGATATAAACTCCTTTACATTCCATTCGGAATTCTTATAATATACAAAACATAATTCTCAAAATTCCAATATTTCAAAAGAATCAAAACGCCCCTTCGTTCTATATTTCGGCCTCCAATTCTTGAAGCCACACCCACAAGTATTTTCAATTTATAAAATTCAAAACTTTACCAAATAAAATATTTAGTACAAATTCTACCAAAGTTGCTCGAGGCTTTGGCCAATATCAAAGTTTATAGTTTTCACATTGATAAAATGATTGACCTCCAAAACCCAAAACTCAGACCTCATTTGTTCGTCACATCTTAGTTACCCAAAAGAGCCATCAAATTAGAGCGTGACTAAAAAACAATAAAAATCAATTCCTCATAATCAAGTCAAAAAGGCAACCTACATTGTTTGGACTTAGAGAAGAAAAAGGTTAACATACATGCATGTTTTAAAGCTTTTGCTTACCTTTTATGAGGAAAGAAGAGTTCTCTTTTTTCATCTTTCTCGTTCTCAAGTCTTCTAAAAATAACTCGATACCTCTTGTTTTGCTTTAGTCATATCGTTGCTTTTAATTAAATTGATTATCTTATCCCAACAAAACAAATCAAGACTATTAATTTTGGAGAATTAAATTTTACCTATTAAAATGGCTCGAGGAATTATTGAGTTGGATAACCCTAAACCATCAAACTAATAATCAAAGTTATTAGGGATTTGGAATGTGTGTTGGCAATTGATAGTCATGATTGTCACGTTGAAGTTATGTTTTTTTATATGTATAATATAATGAAATATTGATAGGGCTTACGATTTTTATTGATTTTTTTTTTCAATTTAAATTATTATAAAAATTAATTTTAAGGATGGTCACTTCTCATGTTATGATGTTTAAGTTTAATATAACATGAAGCTTCCACCTTTTTTTATTTATTTATTAAATAGTGCTTTTAAACTATGATATTTAAAGATATAAAATTATTAGTAGAACAAAATATTCACGGTTTATAAATTTCGTATTAAAAATTATAATTTTATTTGAAGTTCGATAAAAAATATGTTTTTTTAATATATCTCTCCTATTTTGAATTTAGAACCTTAAATTTGTCTACAAAGGCTGACATTAATTGCTTTATTAACATATATATATATATATATATATATATATATATATGCTCATGTAAAATGTTAAAACTATATAATAATAAAGGCAGACATTTTGGACTGAGAAAATTTATGAATTATATATATATGTTTTGTATAATATCATTTCCCGAGGTTAAGAATATATTAAAATTTTAAAATTATCTTAATATGTTGTGTTAATTGATTTTTCTTTCAAAACAATTAATTATTATTATTATTTTATTTATTTTAGAAAGTCGTAATTCACCTATAGATAAACGTGTTAGTAATATATTGAGGTTTTCAATGTCTAATGAAATTAAACAATAGCTAAATAGTTAATCTTAATATATTTCAATTAAGTTAAAATATAATCTTTTCCACACAAAAATATATATATTAAGATTTCACTCCCATGTAAATTTATTTATAAACATTTGATTTTTATTTCAATGTCTAGTAACTGCTTTCTTCAGTTTATTTTATTATTTACTTATAATATAAAATAAAAAATTGTAACTAAATGAGATTTAAATTACCACAAACTAATTTAATTATTACCACGAAAATGAGTTTATATCATTTCACCAATTAATTAAAACAAAAATTGTTGGCTTATAATTACCATTTGGATAACATTCTTTCTATTTTTAATTTTTTTTTAGTTAAGGATAACTTTCCTTTTAATAAATTAAAATTTTAACAAAAATGAGAATTTATTTCTTCTAATTTCAAAAATTAAATTAAATTGTTATAGTTTGATAAAATCTGTCCTAAATAATTACAAAGATTATTTAAGAGTATGAACTATTTATGAAGGAGTTATAAAACTACCAGAGGTATTTGAATAAAAAATAAAAAAATGTAAATAAGTCACAAATTTACCTAAAAGTCTTGTGGATTTTTAATATATATATAGTATAATAAAAATAGAGAGATAAGAAGAATTAATGAATGAAATTATTAATTGTATTCCTTTGTAATCTCTACATTAATCATTCACATAGAAACTAAAAACCTATATTAGAAACCAAAATCTTTAAGTTGTATACGCATCGGGAAATCCTCTAAAGAGCCAGAGGAAAATAATATAAAATTAAATAAAATAAAAACCAAATTTTGTATATAATTTTACATTTGGCGACGGATTAAGCCATAAACCGAAACCAATGCCATAACCAGAGATCTTTCAATCTGAGAATTTGCATTTAAACTCAACACATCATCTCCCAATAGAATTCCATTCGAAGAAACTTTTCTTTTCGCCTGAAAAACACACCAAAAACAATTTCAAACTGTTAGAATCTGTTTGGCACGACGGAAAATCAGCCGAGAAAACCAAAGGAAATGAGATTCGATTCGATTCGATTCATTTTCCACACACTCCACTACTAACCTCTGCAACTACTTCTCCATTGATGTTCATTATTCTGAAAGCCAATTTTCCATCCATTTTCACCAACGAAAACCTCTCAAATCCTACAGTAATTTCACAGACCGATTGATTCCTCGATCCTGATCTGTACAATTTCTTCACTCGAAAGCTAGGGCTTGTACTTCTCTCCGAATCGATCCATCGATATCCCTCCCATCCTCCGAGAATCGAAAATTTCTGCACAAATTAATCCAGAACTACAATTAATCGAACGGTACTCAAGGATTTAGCATCGAAATCAGAACGAAATAAATCAGAGAAACCGCCATTTTTTGGCTCACCATTTTTCTGATGGTGAAGAGGACGTTGCCTCTGAGATCCATGAGAAAAACTTCGCGACGGCATTTTCTGTTGTAGTTATCGACTCTGTAGACGATGTCGCCATTGGAATCGTAGACGGTGCAGCCATTTGTGTGGTAAATAAGAGATTTCATCCAAATCGTGAAGGTTTCTGTTTCGTAACAAAGCGATGAAGACGACGACGACGACGGCGACTGCGCTGTTTGAGGGTACACTTTTGCCATAGAAATGGAAGAGAAAAAGAGCTTGAAAGTTCGATGAAGAAGGCAGAATAAGAAAGAGGGAATTTATAGGGCGGATTTTTTTTTTTTTAATTTTTAGAAATTGTATTTATTTTGCATTTTTTTTTATAATGATGTATTTTTTTAAAAATTTAAAAAAAAGAGAGAGAACAAAATGATGTATAACAAACGAGAAAGGTATGGAATGACAGACAGAATAAAATAATAATAAAATAATAAAATAATAATTAATATTTATTAGTGGGGATTAGAATGTTGTCTTAATATAAGGAAAATGTTGTCTTTTTATCTATCAAAGAGGTGCCCACTTAAACCTTTCTATTTTTAATTTTAATTTTATTCTTAAAAAAACTATCATTTTTAAAATATATATGGACTAATGAAAAATATTTTTATCCTAAATTATTTATTCGATAAATATTTGAATCTGTGACATTTTAATCTATTCATTAGCGTAAATAGAAATTTGAAGTATATAAAAAATATTAAATATATTTTTTTTATTTTTTTCCTCCATTGGGCTCGGTTCTCAATACTATTATTTTAAATGAGAAGGTTAAGCTTTTTTAATTTTTTAATTAATATTATACTATATTTCTGTTTATGGGTTTTTCATCATTCCCATTTTTATTATATTTTATTTTTAAATTAAAGGTTTCAATTTTGTCAGCTTCCAAGTCTCTTCTTTCATTATAAAATAAATAAATAAATAATAATAAATTGTTTGGCCACTTCATGGTCGTGTTAGCTGATATTCATGTGGATATTAATCTTTCGTTACATTAAAACTATACTTATTTATAACAGGAACCAACTTAATCAGTCCATTATTAATTATGACCTAAAAAACTGAAGGAAAAAAAAAAAAAAAAAAAAGCTAAATTATATAACTCCAATTTTTATCTTATATTTTAAAATTACTATGGGCTCTCAAACCTAGTAATACAAATTTTATTAGAATATTAAATAAAAAGTCTAACGTGTTTAAATATTATTCTTTTAAATTTAATCCGATGAAGTGTCTCAATCGACATGGTATCATTTTAGATTATTGTCATGTTGATTTTTATTTAAGATAAAATTCTATTGGGGCTTTAGATTTAGTCATTAGATTTAATTTTCAATGATAATTAATCTTATAATACAAATTTAGTATATATGATAAATTATATAAATTAATAAATTAAATATTTATAATAAAATTAAAGATGACAAATCAAAGTTGATGTAAACATTAGCCCTAGCAAATTCAATCTTAAATGGCAGGAAAATTCAAATTGGTAATTTTAAGTAATTACTCATAATAATTAGAAAAGTCAAATTGTAAACTAAAAAATATTAGATGTGAGATCTTATATTTGGTATTCTTTGTAAATGTGTGAAAATCTCTCTTTAGCAAACGCGTTTTAAAAACTTCGAAAGACATAATTTGTTTGCGGTGAGTTTGGGTTGTTAAAAATGATATCAGAACTAGACATTAGGGCGATGTGCTAGCGAGGAAGTTGTGGACATGAGACAGTATGCCAGCATCGAAAATGAGTGAATTGGAGGGGTCTCACATTGATTGGAGAAGGGAACAAGTGCCGAGGATGTTGGACCCTTGAGGGTTGTGAGATTCCACATCAATTGGGGAGGAGAGGCCCAAAAAAAAGACAATATCTACGGATCAAACACGGTATTAAGATAGGATGAAAGTGTTAATTAAATGAGTGAGAAGAGGGAGTAAGAGGTGACTAAATTTATATAAATCATTAAATATGGTGTTAGTGGGAGGCAAAATGACATGCAAAAGTAGGGTTAGTTAGCCATATTATTATCTTTAATATGTTAATTAATGGGGGTGTAATGGCATGGCCTAACAATGTTGGTGCGATATTAAGTAATATTATCTTGGTCCCATTCTACTTGGTAATGACAATTAATGGCATTAATCCAAGTAAATAAACCCTCCACCCAATTAAACAAATGGGAAATTTTGATTAGTCTCATACCTCTAACACTAAGCTATTTTGTCCATTTCCTCCCTTATTTTCAAACTAATCCTTTAAAAAGTTTGCATCTTTTTTTAATTATGGGTTTCATCCATTACTCACCTTTTGTTCAAACCCACCAAAATACGACCTTACCTTTTTATAGTAAATAAATTGTTTTAGCAATTAACCCATAAAGGGGATATTTTTATTTACTAAATAATTATTTAATTATTGATTTAGCAATCAGTCCATAAGTGGGCTATTTTTTTAATTCATTTTTTGGGTTGAAAACCATAAATTTAATCCATAAACTTTAATATTAAACAATTAATTTACTATTATTATTTAACCATTTAGATTTTGTAATTTATAAATGTATAATGTCACGTAAAATAATTTTTTTTAAAAGTGGATAAATCAATTATTATTATTTTGTAATGAGTAATGCAAGGATAAAAAATTGGGTAAATAATGTGATAGCCTAATGCCTCGAAAACTTCCGTAGTTGACTTATAGTGTCTTGTAGGGTCAACAAATGAGTGTATTACGACATCATAATTTTTGTTTTCCCAAATGAAATTAAATAATTAATAAGTCAAATGAAATGTGCAACTTTGGAGCACTACAATTTCGTGGTGGTTTCTCTTTTTTTAAGATCAAATTTGAATTAAATAAAATATTTATAATTAATGTAATAAATTAATATTTTTAGCAAAATATATGATTTGAATTAAGTAACATTTCATTATTTAAAATAAAATAAAATAAAATAAAATAAAATTGTGGGGTTATTTTCTAGGAACAAAATTGACCCTACGGGGCATGTTATGTCCATTTATTTCCCAACTTATGTGGTCTCATATGCTCAACCTTTTCCATTTATCATTATGTCTTCCATTTTTCCACAAATTATTATAGAATTAGTTTTTTTTTTTTTTATATTAAATTTAAAATGTCCGATATTTTAATGTGGATCTCACATGCTCCCTCTGTCCTTCAAACTATATATATATATTATATATATTTATTTATTGGTAGAAAGGGAACACACGTGGAAAAGGGTTCAAGAATAATATAAATTTATATTTTTTTAGTTAGTTATATGAAATGAATTTCTAAATTATAATTCAGCGTTGTGCGTGTGAATATATTTTAAATTATTTTTCTCAGTTTTGAATGTGAAATTGTTGAAGTCAAGACGTGGATTGTAGATAAGTGTGACAGGGATCTTCAAATCGATCATATAATTCAGATATTTTACGAATAATAAAATAATAAAATCTAAGAGTTATCTTTTGAATTATTTAAATTTTTATAAATAATTCCCTTTCTAAAATTTGAAATTTAGTAAATGCGACTAATTAAAAAGAATTATAATATAAATGAATAAATGGTATAATCAAAGCGAGCAACTCAACCCTAATCAATATGTATTTTTTTTTTTTTGTTTAGATGTTAGAGGTTTGAGTTTAATTCTCTGAACTCCCATGCTATCGAGCTAAAAATAATAATAATAATAAAAAATAATAACTAAATGGTTCAAGGAAGAAAAGTGTATATGAAACTACTTAGAATGACACCAAAATCTCTCGTCCTAGAGTGAATTAATATGACATATCGAGATAAAAACACATAAAAAAATAAAATTAATTACACGTATAAAATAGAAATAGACTAGCAATAAAATAAAAATTTAAAAAAAAAAAAAAAGGAAAGGAAAAAGTAGTGAAGGGAAATATTATATAATAAGAGAAGATGTATGAAAGTGACATAAGAAAGTGGTAATTAAAGGTTTTTAAGTATGATTAAGAAGTGGGGTTTAGTACCCTTTTTCAAGGGATTCTTAGCCATTACTATATGCTGATTCATCCCTATTCCCTTATGTTGTGTCAGTTTCCAATATTTAAATTCTAAAAATTAAAATTAAATAATGAGTCAATAACTAATTGCCAACCCCACCTTTCTGCCATTGGTTTCTTTTTTCTTTATATAATTGGATAATTCAAATCTGGCAAACATGTATGGAACAACGGTTATGATTTTGTTTTTTTTTTTTTTTTTTTTAAAGTTAAAATTTATAATCTAATTTTGTAAATGTTTATCCAAATTCAACCAACTTTAAAGTTTTTAAAAATTAAATATTGTAGCACTCACCAATATTTTTATTTCAAAAAATAAAAAAGGAGAAAACTTTTGTTGGGCTGTGGTCCATGGGCCTACATTATCTCGGACAAAGAATTTAGAAGGCCTTAGGCCCATGGGCCTACATTTTTTGTGACCCATACACTGAGTTATTATATTTACCTTTATTGGCTATTTCTAAAAAATATTAAAAAAAAAAAAAGAAAGTATGGGTAAATATGCAGCTCCCTAATATGTAGTTGTTATATAAATATCCATAAAAAATTAAATTGATTATATTCCCTCAAAATCTCAGAAATTAATGAAGGGTAAAATTTAATGAAGTTAATAGATTCTATAATGGAATAATATTAATGGAAGTTTTTAAATTAAAAAAAAAAAAAAAAGAGAATGAAAAAATTAAATGAGTTTAGAGATAAAAAGGACAAAGTTTGGAGGAGATGTGGGAGGACAAAAAATTTAATGCACCAATTTATTACACCAAAAAGTGGACCTTAAATGTCTCTATAAGCGGTGGTATATTGATTAGACTTCCCTCTGCTTTAAAATTATTTATATGTATTTTTTTATTTTTATAAGAGACAAAATTTGGTAATAAATCCAATTAATATATCCATATTATAAATTTAATTAATTAATTGATTAAAGTTTTTTTTTCTCTCTCTCTCTCCCTATAAATTAAATTAAATTGCAAGTTGCACAACAATCTGTAAAATAAAATTAAAATGAATTAAATAATTATTATGTTTTTTTTTTTATTTTTTATATTGAGAATATTACTTCCATGTGCATGAATAAAAGCATACGCGCTTCTAGTCTATTTTATAACTAATTTTTGGGCCAATTTTCACATGGTCCCTTTTTATTAATTTAAATGCATCAAATTTTTATTTTTGGTTTTCAAAATTATGGCCTTTAAAAAGAAAATTATTTAAACCTAACAAAACAATATGTAGAAATAGAAAAAAAAAATTACAGTTATTCAAATCTGGTGTTTTAATATAATATCGAATAATTAATAAATGCAGATTGTTTAATTTTTTTGTTTCCATTTTAGTACTTTGTTAATCCTAAACTAATGTGATTTGAGAAATGTTAATTAGTTATGTGAAAAATGTAAAATGTTTAATTCCCATTGAAATATAAAATAAATTAAAAAAAAAGGTGAGGTGAATTTTGAGGAGGACTCGTGTTGGAAGTCAAATAATGGTAGCCGCCGCTGCCGCTGTTTTTTTTTTTTTTTTTTAAATTTCTCCTTCTAGATTTTGAATGTTTCGAAATTTCATATTATCGCGATATTTTGAAGAGAAACGCGAGCAAACAAGACATACAAATAGCGACACGCTGTCGCGGTTCATGATTGATGGAAGGAGTACTGACGTGGACTCGTAAGTTTCAAAATGGCAACAATAATATTGACAAAATTAAGGTTGAATTAATAAAAATAGCCCTCTCTCAAAATTTTCAAATAATATTAATAAACTCTAAAGAATTTTTTTTTTTAAACAGATACATGAAAAAATAATAGGGTTAAATTTTAAATATTTTTATTAATACTTTTCGATAGTAGTAAAAAAAATCTATGAAATTTGAAAGGTATGATTAATATATTTTTTTATCATCCATAAATGAAGAATACAATCTGTCTGATATTTATAAATTATTTTTATTTTTGAAAGTTTATTATTATTTTAAAAAATTTTAAAATTTAAAGAGAATTTTAAAAATCTATTTTAAAAGTTAAAATATATTGTTAAAGTATAAAAGAGAGGAAAATTAATTTTTTTTAGAGGAAGTATAAAATTCAACAAATTTATATTAATTTAACGTAAAATTATGGTGAATTTGGGAGTGGGGTCATGTTTTTAACTAACCCGGGCGAACTGCCCACGAAAAAAGTGTACGTGGAGCGTGGTTGGTCTCTTCCATAATTGTCCACGTAAGAAAATTTTCAAAATAAAAAAAAAAAAAAGAAAAGTTTAGAATTTGAAGAACACAAATAATTAGAGAATCAAACAATTTCCAAAAAACAAAACGATTAGCAATGAAATCTAATTTTTTTTAAAGAATATTAAATAGAATAAAAAACCTAAGATGTTTACGTGCAAAATTAAGTTTTAAAATTTATTAAATATTTTTTAAAATTTTAAAAATAGACCAAAGGAATTTGTTTTTCTTAAACTCATGGATTATTTTTTATTTATAATTTGTTTAATAAAAAAAACAAAATGGGTCTTTATTGTTTATTTTTATATATTTAAACTTGAATTGAAAAAAAAACTTTTTTTAATGGGTGAAGTTTCATGAAAATAATAATTTAGTTTATATATAATCAGTAGAAAAAAAAATATTATTTTAAAAAACCGCTGAATAAAATCGATATCTATTCCCCCATAGGGTTTGATTTGAAATCATTGGCACTTCAATTAAAAAGAAAATAATAATAAATAATTAAAACCAGAAAAATCCTAAATCCACATAGTTCAAGCGCTAAAAAATGAGAGGAAACGGAACATTCTCTGTTCCCATCTATCTGTCACTCTTTCTTCTACCCATTTCTTTACTCTCCCTTTTCTCTTCATTTCTTCATTTCTTCATTTCTTCATTTCTTCCCTTCTGGGTTCTCCCCTTTTTGCATTCCCATTTCTGGGTTTTCGCTCAATCTCTTCGTTTTCTTCATCTTCTTCTCTATTGGGAACTTTTGAAAATTGAAACCATGGATTAACTGCCCATCTCATTTAATTTTCCCCCTTTCCTCTCTGTACCTGTACCACTACCAGCCCCCACTGAACTGGAGTTATTGCTTCTTCTTCCTCTCTTCGTACAACCCCAAATCTTCTACTCTGTTGCCCTTTCCTTTTTCACCGATTCTATCCTGAATGTGAACTGCCCCTTTAACTCGATTTTCTTGTGGGAACTGAGACAAGAAGATGGAGTCCTTTGCTTCTGTTGTTCTGCTTCTCTCTTTGATTTTGGGGGTTTTCTTGTGGAGTTGTGATTCTTTTTCTTCTAATGAAGGTATGCTTTCTTAGATCTTGTTTCTTTTTTATGTTCTTTTTAATGAACTCGGTCTTTTGTTTCCTCAAGAAACTGGTAATTTTGGAGACATTTGTAGTACAATCTCTTGTTTCTGTTATTCTAGCAAGATTTGGCAAAGTTTTAGATATTCTGAAGTGGGCTCTCTTGTTCCCACCATTCTTGTTTCCCTAAATGTTTTGGATGAGAAGCTTCGTTTTCCTTCTCATTCGCAGTAACTTTTGGAGTTGGTTAGAATTATCTCAAGGTAAATTTGGAATTGGGTTTAAGCTTAATGTTCCAGATCTTTTAAGCAATTCTGTGAATGTTTCAAACTTGTAGTTTGAATGTATCTGCTCTGACTGAGAATTTCTTTGTTGGGTTTGTTTAGTCTCGGCTCTCATGGCCTTCAAGTTAGAAATATTTGAAGATCCATTTCAAATCCTCTCCAACTGGAACAGCCCCTATGCAGATCCTTGCTTATGGTCTGGCATTTCATGTTCTCCCACTCGGGACCATGTCATAAAGATGTAAGACATGCTTCTTCTTCATTGAAAATTTCCATTTCTCAACGAATGAAACATCACAGGCTTTTGATTTGGAATCTTTCTTTTACAGAAACATTTCACACGCATCCATAAAAGGGTTTCTTCCACGAGATTTGGGTCAACTTAGCTACTTGGAAGAACTGTAAGTCAATTTCCACCCCCACTGAAAACTCTGATTGTTTTGAAGTTCTTTATTTTCTTGTCAATCATTGTCATGCTATGTTATATGATGGGGTGTAGAATTTTGCATGGGAATAAGCTGGTTGGTACAGTGCCCAAGGAGTTGGGCTACTTGAAGAACCTTAGAGTGTTGGACATAGGGATGAATCAACTCACAGGTCCAATTCCTCCAGAGTTTGGGAATTTAACCAAAGTTATGAAAATGTAAGGCAACTTCTCTTCCTCAGAGTTTTACATAAATGAATTTCTTTTTTGTTAATTCCTTTGCTGTGGTGGCAGAAACCTCCAGTCTAATGTGTTGACTGGTAAGCTGCCTTCTGAACTTGGAAATTTGAGATACCTTGAGGAACTAAGGGTGGATAGAAATAAGCTGGAAGGAACTGTTGCTGCTGCTTTTGGCCATTTAAATCATACTGGAATGTGAGTGGAAATTGTTGCATTCAGTTCTCTCAAGGACTTGTTTTTAGCCCTTCTCCCAAATTCCCTGCATTTTTCTTATGCTCTATTAATGTTTTAGGTATGTGTCAAACATGAACTTGAATGGATTCTGTGGCTCATCTCAGCTAAGAGTTGCTGACTTTTCATACAACTTCTTTGTTGGGAGAATACCCAAGTGTTTCGGGTATCTTCCAAGGTACGTGCTCGGTCTTTTTTATTCTACGTTGATAGTTCAATTCCTTCTCTAATCTACTCCCTGCAGGTCAAGTTTCCAAAGGAATTGCCTTCAAAACAATAGCCCGAAGCAGCGTCCTTCATCGCAATGTGGTACGTGACATTCCTTGTAATTTTGTAGTTGCTTGTTAGTGAAGGGAAAATGAACATCTGGTTCGAAATGCTTGAGAACTTTGAGAAGGGAAAACTTATGCTTTCTAGCATCTTATGTAACTAGTTCTGATTGAAATCCTTATATTGTTTCTTAACAACCAGTCAAGACCAAGAGCCATCCAGGAAGCAACAGGCGGAGCCCTCACCAAGCGACATCGAAACCTATCTGGCTTTTGGCCCTTGAGATAGTAACAGGAACTTTGGTGGGTTCTCTCTTCCTGGTTGTTGTTCTCACTGCAGTTCAGAAGTTCAATCGAAAATCGTCCATCATATTGCCCTGGAAGAAAATTGGAAGTAGAAAGTACTATTCTCCAGTGTATATAGGTTTGTATCCCTCGTCTTTTCCTTATCATAGTGCCTAGAAAGTAAAGTGAATGTAGGAAGTACTGTGCTTTATAATCATATGATGCGCATCTGTGGATTAACGCGTTATTCGTCGATTCAGAATTTTTTTTCTTCGGTTTTTTGTGCAGATCCTGAGATTTTGAAGGGTGTAACGAGATTTAGTCGACAAGAGCTTGAGCTAGCTTGTGAAGACTTCAGTAACATAATTGGCTCGTCTCCGGACAGTTTGGTATACAAGGGCACGATGAAAACTGGATCCGAGATTGCGGTTATCTCGATGAGCATGAAAGAAGAGCAATGGACAGGATACCTTGAACTCTATTTTCAGACAGAGGTATTGTTTTTATTTATGAATGACGAGGTTAGTTGATGATTTTCGAGTTGAGGTTTCATTGGAAATAATGATTTAGGTGGCAGATTTGGCTCGAATCAACCACGAGAATACAGGAAGATTACTGGGATATTGCAGAGAGAGTAGTCCATTTACAAGGATGATAGTTTTTGAGTATGCATCAAATGGCACATTATACGAGCATCTTCATTGTAAGCCAACATTTTCTTGTCCCAATTTTTTATGGTTCTTTTCATATGTTCGTGTTATTTACCGTCGTTGATGACTGCAGTTGGAGAAGCCTGTCAGTTGTCTTGGACGAGACGAATGAAGATTATTTTAGGCATCGCTCGTGGACTTGAGTATCTTCATACAGAACTCCAACCTCCGTTCACCATCTCTGAGTTGAATTCCAATGCTGTATATCTTACAGATGATTTTTTCCCTAAGGTAAATCTCTAAGTCAATCTTTACATTTTTCTGTCTAGAACTGAAAGATTAACATGGAGATGTAAAAGGTAATCGAATTGAGCGTTTGGTATTTGAGTTTGTGTACTATGTTGACACGAAAGTTCTATTGAATCAGTTGATAGACTTTGAAAGTTGGAAGACGATTCTTTCACGATCGGAAAAGAACTCGGGTACTATTGGCAGCCAAGGTGCAATCTGTATTCTTCCAAACTCGCTGGAAGCACGACATCTGGATGTGCAGGGTAACATCTATGCTTTTGGCGTTCTTCTACTTGAAATAATCAGTGGGCGGCCTCTGTACTGCAAGGACAAAGGGAACTTGGTAGATTGGGTAAGAAATCATCTGTGCATTATACAGCATTTGAATATGACCCTTTGGAACTAACTGAAAGCCTTTGTGATGTAGGCCGAGGACTATATCGAAATGCCAGAAGTGATGTCTTACATCGTCGATCCCGAGCTGAAGCATTTTAGATACGAAGACCTCGAGGTAGTATGTGAGGTGGTGAGCCGCTGCATCCATCAGCAGCCCACCAAACCTCTATCGATGAAGGAACTCTGCAGCATGTTAGAAACAAGAATTGACACCTCCGTTGCCATTGAGTTCAAGGCATCTGCTTTGGCATGGGCGGAGTTTGCCCTCTCATAGAAGTGAAGGGTGGTACATATACAGTTTGATATACACAAAAGTTGTAGCACTCCCTTTCCCCTTCTAAATTCCTTGTAAATATTCAATCCTAGGTCAGGCTGTATAACTTCTAGAATCACAAAGTACGCCAATATCAATCTTTGATCAGTGTCATTTAATCATAGATCAACAATGAAGTTTAACAAATTTGTTCTCTGCCTGCCGTTTCTGTTTTCCTTGCACTTAACATACCTCAGCTTTACATCGTTTGAACGAGATGTCTAAGAGGAAATAAATAAAATCAGACCGGACAAGTATTTTGAAGAAAATTCAGGGCAAAATTGCACTCATTGTAAGCTCTTTAATTTGAATACAATAACTATACTCAATCACATAAGATATTCATCAAAATTGGAAACTCTGAAAGCAGCATTGAAAATCAAATGCATAAACAACAGTCTATTTATGATGAGACCGAGAGAAATGGTTATCGTTTGGATTTCTCTTCCCGCTAAAAACTGCCAGAGCTTGCCTTACGGGAGGCTGCAAAGGAGCTCTCTTATCAGTGTTATGATGGCTGAAGAAATCATCCACGGCAAAGAAATCGTCTCCCTGAGAATGAAAAATGGAGATTACAAGGTCATGAAGGTGAGTTGAAAACTTCACGAATTCCGATCATAAATAAACCAAAACAACAGACTGGTTAAAGATAAATGTGAGGCAACTTGGATTGGAAATAACCTGTTTATTGACTTTCTTCTTGGTCTTGGGATGAAGGAACTTCTGCGGTAGTTGATCTTCACGTAAAACAAGATTCTTGGTAATGGCATCCCTTCCACCTTGGGGTAGAGGAAGTGAAAACTGTACATAAAAGGAAAAGGCACATTTCAAGATTAGCAAAGCCATCAAGACACTGATTATCAGTATTGATGAGTAAATATTGAAGTTAGGATTCCCAAACTATACGACCATTGAGAAAAACAAATAAATTGAAAACGAAATTAGTTATTCTTCTACTGGACAATACAATCAGAGAAACTACCTTTGTGCCACGGAGAGTAATCCTTGGCTTACGGGAAGCTAACACAACTCCGTTCTCGCCAACTGTAACAGCTACCTTGCGCAAAGTTCCACCGTTTCCACACTTGGGACAAAAGATCTTTCCAATTTCAGCTGTGACATTGTAGCAGGCGTGACATTTCAAAATCCACCTGAGCGACACATCCCGAAGATTTGAGGACATAATTCATAACTGCTTTACATGACTTCAACTCAACAACTCAATCAACATACAAGGAATTTATAATGATTCGGGCCAAAAAGTTGGCTCGAGCTATAAAATGAACACAACCAAACCACCGATTGGAAAGAAGGTGGTCAAAAAAGTGAATCATTTAGTTGCAACTTTTGGATGATCGAATTTGATCATACAGAATTCGTAATTTGTGAGTTAACAAACTTTTAAAGATCACATAATAGCAAATCAACACTAAATATACATACCTGTGCAGTTGGCGGATCTGCATTCCTCCTGGAGCCAACAAACGTAAACCCATTTGCAAAAGAACATTCTGCATTGCGAAGTCACCAGTTACACAAGCTACGCTTGATTCAGACAAGGATCTCAGCATCCAACTCTGATCACTGCTAATATCATCTATATTTGATGTGTCTACACTTTCATTAGTCTGACTTGAGTATTCTAAATGTTCCATCTCATCCTTCGCTGTATCGTTCATACCCTCAACAGCTACAATATTCTCCACCTCACTTGTGTCCAATTCTTCTTTTTTCAAAGCGCCAAGCCCTTCCATGTGAAAAGCATTTAATGAATCTTCTTCCAACCTCATCTGATTCAAAATTTCAGAGAGATTTTCATTGTTGTTTGTCCCTTCTGCTATCTGACAGTCATTCCCATTTCCGGTAATTGGTTCCGAGATTTGATCCTGTGATTGACCTGATCTGTTATTTTCCACTAGGACATCACCTTCTGTGGTTTCAACATCTTGCTGACTGTCCTTTTCAGCTAAGGCCTCATAATATTCACGCCGGGCTTTCCTCCTAAGATATCTTCTCTGAGTACTCCGACTGACAGCAGGTGTCCAATCACCCTCATTATCATCATATTGTCCCTGAGATGCATCAATTCCATCAGCCACCATTTTCTTCCCTTCGATATTAATTTCCTTTTTCTTTGGAGGATATCTTCTCGATCTTCTTGAACCACTCTCAGTTTCATCTTGATGCTCAGAGTTATGCTCATCCTTGTGCTCTAATGAAAGATCTTCGGATTGGCCACCTGAAGGGACTATGTTAAGGTTTAAATCCTGCAAAGGAAGGATCTTTGATGTGGTATCAAGCGGAGCATCAGCATCTTGCTCTAATGCTTCCCACTCTTCCAGATTAGGAACGTTAGAGCCCCACCCAGGCAAGTCTTTCTCAGGTAACCTCTTTGTATTAACCATGTGGACAGGGGGCGGACACTCACGGAGATGTTTGGTCCCATGGATCTGAGTCTCCAACGTGTAAGTGAGGGCAATAAGTTTAATATCAACATCTGAAAGGGTCTGTAAGTCACCAGTTGCCCTTGCAAACTTGATTACTGTAAGATTCAACAGAAAATACATAAGAGAGGTAGAAAAAGGAATGCACACTGCTAAATCATTGTTATTTCAAAAAGACTTTCACTTCGAAAACACGACTCTCAGAAAAACCATCCCAAACTCACTCTAACAGCAGTTCCGCTTAAACCTTACATCAGACCGGTCCTTACAAACAACAACCGTTTAAACTTCAAACTAACAACACAATTAACTTGTAGAAACGGACAGGGACTATAATTCAACAGCCTACCTTTATTGAGAGCTTCGGGGGAAGGATCCATGGATTCGAGAGTGAAGGGGACAAAGGCAAGTCTGTGGCGAGATACGGGATCGCGAACCTCATCCAAAACCTCAGGAACGGAAACAAATTTGTCCGCGCAGGTGGAGAGCTTTTCTCCCCCTTGAATGATGGCGTTGGCATCAACAACAGCAACAGCAACGCCTTGACTGGACTTGCAGCTGTCGGCGAATACTTGGACGGTGGAGGTAGGAGTCTGATGCTGAGGCTTCGGAGCAGGTTGAGATTTGACGACATTGCTCCAGCATGAAGCCGGAGAAGGGCTCTCCATGGCTACAAGAAGTAGAGGGAGAACGAACGCGAGAGCTTGAAAACAGGGGATTGGGGCCTAATACTGACTGAAACCCTAAAACCCTAAAAGAAAAATTGGATCAGTCTCCAATTACGTGGCGAAGGTATAAACGTCGTCGTATTGAACTTAATACGCAAAGGCAAACTGCGCGAATATTTTTTTATACAAAATAGTTCACGATAATTCTCGTTATTTTGGTTGAAATATTGCTTGGGATAACGCGTATTATTTAATTAAAAAATAAAAATCTTAAATTTATTGTCTTCCTTTAAAATTTTAAATATTTTATAACAAAATTTTCTCAACGAACTTAATTTTAAAAAATAAAAATAAAACAAATGCCAACCAATTCTTAACCAATATAAGTATTAATCATAAATTTACAAAAATGGGATGTATTATTATAAAATTTTCATAAATTATTTATAAAAGCATTATTGAACTTTTAACTGTGACTTGAAAAAAATATTAGAACATACTTTATTGGTTACATAATTAACATTTCTAAGTTCATAATTTTTTTTAGTTCAACTTGGTAACTTGAACGTCTAATATCTTAAGTTTAAGTTAATCATATAGAAATAATTAGAATACAAATATTAGCGCAGATTGATTTCTTCATGGAATTGAAGTCATTTTAAGTTCATATTGTTGCAAATCGAACTTCAAATTCCATCACAGAACCAATCTATCAAAGAAAACAACAGTGTAAACATAAAACAGCTGCAGCCTGCAGGAAGAAACTAGACAATGTACACTTCAGATCATCAAGCAAGGATTGAAATCAAGTCTCCAAGGAATGAAATCTAATGGATGAGAATCAAGTTTCATTTTTCAGATGAATTCCATAGCATCCCAAGGTCAACGTTACCTCCTGAAAGTATAATGCCAATGCGGTTGCAGTCCTTCCATGAAGGGTTTTGCTTGAAACTGTCGGAGAGAACAGCAGCAAGGCCTATTGCTCCACTAGGTTCCACAACAACTTTCAGTATTTCAAGACAAAGTCTCATTGCTTCGACTATCTCTGAGTCCTCTACAGTTATTATGTCGTCCACCAAATCTCGTACTATCGGCCTGATCAGAAAATTAGGAATCGAAGTTATCTAGTGGGAAATGAAATCAATAGAAAGGGAAGAGATCTTTTTGAGTTTTTAACCAATCAAGCAAAGTTGAATCATAAGTCTTGCAGGGCATGTTTGGAAATGATTTTGAATCGACCAAAACCAGGTAGACTCAGCTTGAGTAGAGTTGGACGCACTCACAAGAGTCAAATATGTCAATCATAGACTCAGCTTTCTTTGCTCAGAGTTAACTAAATCTAATCCAAGAGTCAAACATTTCCTAAGGTTAAAGAAAATTTTAATAACACAAAAGTTATATTACCAGGTAAGGTCACCAAGAAAAGCTCGAAGACCATCGGCTATGGTGTTGGTCTCAGCCAATATTACTATCTCACCAGCGGCTTTTGACAAGGCTGCATCATTAGCTCCCTTAGGTTCTGCTGCAAAAATCCGGATGGCAGGATTGATGGCTTTTGCAGCCACAGAAATTCCAGATATCAAACCACCACCTACATTTTCATGGTGAGGGGTTTCAGAAGGATACAAGTCCAATGGGACTATCAACTAAGAGAGTGCGAAATAAATGATAAAAGGAATAAGAATTTCCGATCAAACGAACCACTTATGGGGACGATTAAAGTGTCCAATTGTGGGACTTGTTCTAGAAGCTCCAACGAGATAGTACCTTGCCCGCTGCAAGAACAATTCAAGATGTCATAATTCATCCATTTCAGTAGAGTAAAACCAAGTTCATTTGATGAACACTAGTTTTATTTAACTTAATCAGTTTTCTGATACCACAGTTCCTCCCTCTCTACCCTTGAACACCAATGGGTTGCTGGGGAGTGGAAAGAAAAAATGCAAATGTTAAATATCACTAAAGCAAAGAGTTTAACAAGTTTTTATAAATATAACTTTCTTCGTTCATTTTTTAGAACTCAAGAGCCAAGAAAACAGTAGTACACAACCTATACAACAGAGCATGTTCAAGCAGGGCTGTAGCTTTCTCAGTTCATTCTTTTCACACTCTTTTGCGTGTAGGATAAGATATTAATCGAACAAAATGAAACAATTACCTTATTATGCGTCCATCATTATATGGATGTATAAGTAACGCCCCAGTTTCTTGCATAACCTTCGAGGCGACCATCTCTCTCGACTGTATTGTGGCTTTGCTCCGAATAACCTGACCACCATAACGTATTACATTTTCAACTTTACATTTTGGAGCATTTTCTGGTATAACTATATATGCAGGGATCCCTCGCAGTTTTGCAGCCAAAGACAAAGCTGCAGCATGGTTGCCACTAATTTCAGAGACCATTATCAGTTGAATATTCTCAAAAAGCTTCAAACAAGTATATTGTTTTGTCCAGAGCAAACCTGCTGTGTGTCACAACCCCTTTAGCAGCTTGTTCATCATCAAGTGAATATATAGCATTGCAGGCACCTCTGAATTTAAAGGCTCCACTAAACAGCCATTTGAGATAGCAGCACATGTTAGATTTCCATTGGAAACCATGGATTTTCATTTCTAAGAACTAAGTTCTTCCAAACTTATTTGAATGTTTGTGATATTTATTTCAAACAAATAAATAACAAAGACTACCACCATTTGAATCAGAACACTTATAATCTTTTGGTTAAGCTACTCACCCCTTCTGGAAACATTCACATTTGAAGAAAAGCTGTTTTCCTGAAGCAGCGTTAATACTCTCAGAGGACAAAACTGGGGTTTGATGGGCGAAACGTTGGATTCTAATCCTGGCCTCCTGTATGGAGGAAAGATCAGCAGCATACTCTTTCTTCTCGTTTGGACTCTCCACGTTCATTTTACCAGCAAGAATCAGCACAGGGGAAAGAAATTCTGCAACAAGCTCCAATCCTGAGCAAAATCAAGACAATTCTCAGTTAATAACTTTTCATTCGATGAATGTTTGAACCAGATTGTGCACACCTTAACTATTCTCACCGAAGAACTGATCCTTATCAACCTTTGAACTACGGATTGACTTCAATAAATTACAAACTCATAAAACAAACAAGAGTTTACATAAAACTGAAGTGAATCTCATTAATCAACACAGTTCCAACGCACAGCTACACAAAACTAAGCGGTAATCTTCAACCGAACAAACCAAATTGAAGAATGGTGAATTTGAATATCCAAATTTGGAATCCATTTCTTCTTACAAAAAAACAAACAGAAATCAATTATGAAACGCATCCCATTTCAGTTCAATCTGGAAATAAGTCCATACGAAATTACCAGGCACTGTTTACATCAAAATTCTGTAAAATTAAGAAAACATAAATCCAGAAGAGTTAGACGAACTTACTATACTTTTTGGCACTGACAAAGAATTGCGTTTCTTACGATAGAAACCAAACAGTTTATCTGCGGCGTTGAAAATGTGGTTGCTTTTTCTCGCTAACTCCGTCCCGCCTCCCTTCCCCTGTTCTCAAACGCTGCCGTTTCGAGAGATACGCTTGTTGAATAGTATATGCCTTTTAATTAAGTACTTTACAACCGTAATTAATTGTCCACGCTGGATTTTTAAGTCATTGGTTTTTTAAAATTAAGATTGTTTACTTGACGATTAAAAAAATTACAAGTTATTATTGTTTTTCAAATTTGAATAAAATTCGAAACAGTAAAAAACAAAAAAAAAATGTTAAAAAAATAAATATAAAATTAAAAACTAAATATTTTTACATATATGATTGTTTATTTTATTTTTCACTTTTTAAAATTTAACTAAAATTCAAATAGATAATCCGAATTATCTCTCTTCATATATCCATAGTTTTCCAAATATTTAAAAGAAAAACTATCTTATTTTCATTTTGGTTGAAATATAAAAACAACATTATTACAATTTTCCAATTCCCCAATTCCCCACGATGGGAACACGTCATCATCATCGGGACTCAGTCCACTGGTTCACGCGATTCCCAAACCTCGCCGAACTTCCAAACACACCATTAATTGCATAAAAACTATTCCAAATCCTTGAAAAACCATACAGTTCGGATCAAGCTTTGGCGCTAACAAAATGCTCTGCCACGAATCGGCGTTGGATCTTTCCGGAAGCAGTTTTCGGTAAGAAATCCGTGATGAACACCTTCTTCGGAATCTTGAAGGACGCAAGGTTTTTCTTGCAAAATCGCAGCACCTCCGCTTCGTCGATCGAGCTTCCCTCCCTCGGAATTATGGCGCAATTGATCTGCAGAAGCATCGGTTAGAATTTAACCAAGTAAATCACCTTGTGGATGGATAGGAATCGATTGATTTAAGGATCAATGGTACGTTTTTCTTACCTCTTCGCCGTATTTTTCGTCGGTGACTCCGAAGGCGACGGCCTGAGCAATGTCGGCGTGAGAAAGAAGCACGGCGTCTATTTCGATTGGAGAGATCTTCTCACCTGAATCAAGACGGTTAAAATCAGATCAGGTTTGTAGTTTTATTGACGCAATTTTAATGGTTAGTGGCGATTTTTTTACTGTTCGGAGTTCGAAACTGATTCTCAATTGAGTTTTGTACCTCCACGGTTAATGAGCTCCTTGATCCGGCCGACGAGATGCAAGTATCCGTCGGAGTCGAAGAACCCGATATCGCCGGTGTGGAACCATCCGAATGAGAAGGTGGCCTTGTTAGCGTCTGGATTGTTTTTGTATCCCTTCGTCACATTTGGTCCTCTAATGCACACTTCTCCTTTAACACCTTCCGGTTGTATCACGCCGTTCTCGTCCAGAATCGCCATTTCTTGACCGATCGGCTTCCCTACCGATCCGGCTTTGTGCACGCCGTCCTCCGGTAACGGATTGGACGCCATTAGATGCGACGCTTCGGTCATCGCGTAAGACTCGAGAACCGGAGCTCCGAATGATTTTTCCAATCGTTCCAAAATCGATGGTGCAAGCGACGCGCTACAGCTCCGAATAAACCGGAGCTTTGGATACGACGGTTCAGGCTTACTGAAATGGCGGTCGAGTATGATTTGGTGAATCGTAGGGACCGCAGTGTACCACGTCGCGTTATAGGCGACCATATCGGACCAAAACGTTGAAGCAGAGAAGCGTCCGGCAGCTGGAAGAGTCACAGCAGCTCCGGAGATCAGTGATGATAGCAATCCCGCCATTAGTCCGTGAACGTGAAACAACGGAAGAACGAGTACGGTCGAGTCGGACTCAGAGAGTTTGTACACCGATTTGATGTTCTGAACAGAAGCGGCGAGGTTTTGTTGAGTTAGCGGTACGCCCTTCGGCCGGCTGGTGGTGCCGGAGGTGTGAAGGAATAGTGCAGCGTCGGACGGATCGTTAACGATTTCCGCCATATTCACCTTCGATTCGCTTGGGGCCGGAAAGAAATCGAGAAATGCATCGCCGCTCGCCAGATTCACATTTACTTGAGGAATATTGAGCTTCGATGCGGCGGTTTGTGCCGATGGAATTCCTTCCTTCGATGTAAGGAGTAGTTTCGATTCCGAGTCCGATAAGTAAAACTCGAACTCCTCAGCCGTGTAAGCCGAATTCAATGGTGCAGCGGTGGCTCGGCAGCGGATTATGGCCAAAAACGTGATCACAAACTGCAAAGAAATTCACCTAATCATCAGTTTCGTACATGGGAAGGTGAATCAATGAGAATAGTTCTTGCTGCCAGTAACGTTTGATTCCTCAGGAATGAGAAGGGGTCAAAATCAAATCAGAAAAGAAAGGAGATGCAGAGAATCAGAGAAAGTAACAGAAAAAATGGAGTACATCGCAGACGAACCTCAACAGTATTGGGGAAGGTGAGCGCCACCACATCCCCGGCATTAACACCGGCATCCACCAAGCGAGAGGCGGCATGTTCGATGAGCTCCTGCAACCGCTCATGAGTCAGGTCTAACTTTCCGGCGACTGAGAGAGCCCGGCGGTGAGGAAATTCAGAAGCTGCTTTCTTCAACAAGCCAGTCAAGGTACTGTTCTCCATCTCTCTTTCCTTTTCTGTTCCTCTCTGATATTTCAGAATCAAAACGCTTCAAAATTGAGGAACAGGGAAATTGGGATTTTGAAGATGAAAAAAGACAAACACGATAAGAAAGAAAATTGGAAGTTTGTCCAGAAATCAGTACACGAAATGAGGGGTGGGTGTTTTCGATGATCGAGAAAGAAAATGAAAGATTAATATAGGATTTTGGGGGTGGAAAGGTTGGACTCGTGGAGGTTCAAACTGCACACAACCTTTGTGCCACGTATAAGTGGCCAAAACTGAAATTGGCTTCTCAAAATTTCCTTGAAAATTCCTTTTCCAAAACTATTTTTTTAATTTTCTTGTCACTTTTGGAGAAAGAATCCTACTTTCCTAATATATTTTTATTCGTATTTTAGAATTATTTTAAAATCAAGCCTGATATTAAAAAGGATAAAACTTTAAAAATACATTATTTCTCTTTCTGTGTCATAAACCTAATTTCTTTTCACGGTTAAACTAAGTATAATCTCAAAATTATTACTAAATTTTTAATAAGATCTATAATATTCTTATCCCTAATAGTTTTAGAATTTTGAATTTTTTTAAGTGCCGTAAGCTTGAGAAATATTTGTCTCTGTTTTTTAGTTAAATATTAAGAAGAGAAAGAGATTGACGTGGCTTAGTCAGCATCTAAACTAATAAAAAAATATATAGTTTTTATTCAACAAAAGTGGTCGATATTGATTTTCTAGTTAATAAATTATGATAAAAATTTAGTTTTTCCATTTTTATTGTCTACATTTTGTCTCTCTTTACCTCAGTTTATATTTTAACTTTTTTAAAACAAAAAAAAACTATAGTTTCTAAGTCTTTCCTCTTTATCTTTTACAAATATATTTGCGAGGAATCAATCTTCTGTTGCATAAAAGAACAATAACGTAAAAAGGGTGAGAAAGGGAAAATCGAATTTCAAAAACTGTGGGCGAAAAGGTGCATTGAATTCGTAAAGAAATTGGATGGCCATCCAGAATTGAATAAAGCCATATAATTATTATGGCTTCTCGGCCTCCTACTTTGTCGTTCAGTCACGTACAATAATTGAATTAAGCTCTAGAAACAACTAAAGGTTCCTTTATTGAGTCCTCAAATGATTTTATCACCAGGTAAACAGCACGCATCAAGCTTTATAGAATTTCTTTTAACAACTAACACCCATTACACATATAAATCAATCACTTCATTTTCCGAACCTAATGAAAAAAAAAATGGAAAATGATTAGAGATACTCAAAATTTGCATACTTGTATCAGGAACAAATCCCATGAAGAAGAAGAAGAAGAGACAGATCAAATCATTTCAGCGCTTTGAACTTCTTTGTCTTTTTCACCTTCTTCCCACTGGATTCTTCATCTCCATTCTTCTTCGATGTTTTCTCGACATTCATCTCACTTTGAAGCTCTTCCTTCGCTTTCTTTACTCTACTCCGTTTCTTACCCTTTTCGATATTCTCACTAACCTCATCAACATCACTGTCCTGTTCATCTTGTTCTTCAGATAGCTTTAAGCCATTACTGTCCATATAACGAACTTCTTGTATCCTCCCCTTCTTCTTGCCCAACTTCTTCTCCTTTTTGTTGGAGACCTTTATAGGAGTAGGACCCTTACCTGCATCTGCTACTTCTTTGTTTGTTTCCTCTTCTTTACCCCTCACGGCCGACTCAATCTTCATTTTCAACTCCGGCACTGTTTGGTAAAGTGGCAATGCAATAGATTCCAGGACCTTCAAATGAAATGATTGCACATTGCTCCATTTCTTAGGCACAATCTCTGCAATCCCATCAATCGCCGCAATCACATTATTCACGATCTCTTCAACTTCCATTGACGTCTTCGCCACTTTCACCACACTACAAGTCCCTCTCCTCAAATACAACAAAGCCGACGAACAGCTCTTCTCGATCTGTTCTTTCCAATTCTTATGCCTCAAATTCAACGGCACTGGAATTTTTTTCTTCTTGAAAAAGTGCTTCCCCAACAGACTCGGCAGCATTGGAATAACCCGATCATCGGCGAAAAACATATCGTACGATTCACAGAGCTTCCGTTTAGCTTCAAAGGGGCGGTAATCGGATTTAAGCTTCGACAGCTTGATGACCTTCGAAATCGGGATGTTTTCCGACTGGGTTTTCTTCCTGGCGTCATCTTTGGTAAGATTGGACTTGGTTCTATCGTCGATTATGAGGCAGAGTTCAGACGATTCAGAACGAAGAGGATGGGGAAGAGGGATTTTGTAAGGGTTTGTACGACCTTTTGGAGGGATTTTCTTGAGAGTAACGACGAGGTATAAAAAATCCTCCTGGTCCAGAAGTTGGGGCTTCTCTCGTTTGGAACTTCGCCATTGTAGGAGGGATTCGACGGCTTTCTCCGCCGTTTCCCGACGAACTCTGGAAGAGAGAGTATCAGAATCCGGCGAAGCCATGAGAAGAAGTTGATGTTGGAGGGGTTTTAGGGTCAACGGAAATTTAGGGTTTTATTGAAAGAAAATTAGGGCTCTATATAATTTTATTGGGCTTTTGGTCCATGGGCTTTATTTTGGGCTAATTAGGGAAAGTATTTCCAATATTAACCCATTCTTTTTTGGGCTTTACAGCTAACCATAAATATTTATTTATAAAACTGTCCAAAATATTTACAATAATATATTAAATGCTGATGGAAGCAGGAAAAAAGTGAGCAAATTACAGGTGTCCCTTGGTATAACATTCTTTTAACACACAAACAAGGCACCTCTAAAGCTATAATTTTAACCTTGTCTTAGGGCCTACGGACCAAGTACAGTCTCAAGTATATAATTTTTATGTGGCGTAGACCTCTCAAAAGGTAACGGAGGCGTCAAATGGAGATTGGTCCTCGAGTGCAAAGATAGAAGGGAGCTTGATCGCAAGACCCATCCATCGAGTAGGGACGAAAGTCAGCCTTAGTGATCTGATGGTGTCAAGTGAAAGGGTTGTCGCTTAACGGATAAAAGTTACTTTACGGTTAACAAGTTTGATCTTCACCGGGATATTTTTACAATTTATTTTACTAAAAATGGTTTAAAATAATTATTTTTAAAAAAAAATTACCATCTCTTGCATATAAAATTACGTGCATTTTGCCTCGATTCCTACCAAAATAAAATAGGCCGTGAGAATGGGAACGAAAAAGACCGGTTCCTGCCCCTAGACATCTCTTGTCATGTATTGATTAAGAATTTTTTTTATAAGAAAAATCATATATTAAAATGATGATATAAATTGGAAGGTGGTAAGTTGCTTAATAAAAAGTTTTTTTTAAAAAAAAAAAAAAATTAATATGTATTGCTTACCGTTAGGTTATGGAGCAGGATGCTTATTTATACCTTAGTCAAACTATATATATTAAATGACATATAAAATAAATTATCATAAATAATAAATAACCATGTATAGTAAAAAACTATATCCAGCAACATATGGTAGATAATTATATCTAGTAAAGATAGTAAGCTAAACTATATATATATATCGAGTCGATATTTGAAAATGTACTTTATGTATTCGATGTATTCTCTTATATATTTGTAGTTATTAATACAAAACTTTTAGCCAATATTTTAGTTGCATTTCTCTATCCTCCTGTCCTTTGTGTTTATCTATGTGTTGTTGTGAGATCCTAACACTAAGAAACCTACTTTCTATCAAAATTTTACCTATTATAATTGTCCAACCATTTCATACTCAAAAAATGATTATTTATTTATTTTTTAAATATCAATTTGAAAGTTCCACTCGAGGGGAAAAATTAAAATAATGTCATATTTCTAAAATGATAAAATTAGTCATAAAAAAAATTAAAAAAATGGAGAAAAATGAGAACAAATTTTTTTTATAATAATAATAATAATAATTCTCATTCAAATACTATACTTTAAAAAGAAAAAATATTCAGAAGATTAAGAGAGATCGAACACTCATTGAATATACCAAATCATAATAAATATAAAATATTATTTAATTTATTGAAACACAATAAAATAATATTACATTTTATACGATGGCCATGATTTAAAATGGTGCATAGAACGTGGCCACCATCTCCACCACACCCTCACACCAATAATCTTAAAGCCCAAAACTTTATTAAAATTATTAAATGAGAAGTCACAAACTAAGGACTAAAAATACCCACTTATAATGCAATTTGGATTATCCAATTAAAGCGGATTAAACCTTTGGTGGAGCACTTTGCAAAAAGCATATTATATAATTAATCATTATTTCATAATACCTAATTTCGATTGAATTAAATATTTTTTTTAATCAACGAGCATTTAGCGACTAATTAACCACTATAGCTTAACCCTAGTTAAAAATGAACCATGTGACAGTGTTAGGTTAAAATAGATAAATATATTAATTGAGTATAGGTCTCTACAAAAATGTGAAAAGGGAATTTGTTTGGATTATTTTTATTTATTTTATTTTTAACTTATTTACGCCAAAAAGAAAAATCACTTTCTTGGAAAGATAGAAGGTGGATTTGTATTAAAGATTCCACTCATGCATTTATTTATTTATTTCTTATTTATTTCATTATCCCTTTAATTATCCAATTTAGCCTTTTATATTCTTATTCTCCATTTAGAAAAATAAATAAATAAAGTTTATTCCGAATATATATATAAACGACAAATTGTTAACTAAAAAGGTTGCATCGTTATGGCGTTCACTTAACTCTGTGTTGCAAATAAAAAGCTCTGCAACTCCAAGAGAAAGTGCTTCAATTATTTCAATCGAATTGCCGCCGCAGTTTCGATCAAAATGCTGAAGTTGCCGCGGCGGAAACGCTCGCCGGCGGCAACGAATCAGGAGAACGCGAATAATGTAGCGACAATTGACAATGACGAGACGGCGGCGAGGACGAGAGAGGTAGCGGAAGCGAAGGTGGTGCTTTGTGTTTCCGGCATGACTTGCTCTGCTTGCGCTGTTTCAGTAGAGAATTCCATCAAACATCTTCCAGGCATTCTCGATGTCGCTATCGATTTCTTGAACGATAGGGCTCAAATCCGCTATCTCCCCAATCTCATCGACGTAAGCCGATCTCTCTTTTGCAGTTTTTGATATTTGATTCTTAATCCATTAGAATACCTTTTTTCTAGGGTTTATCAACTTCACTTTGAGATTACTGCATAGTTTTATGAATCTGATTTCTCTAATTGATTTGAGGTTGAAATTTGAGAGAAAAAAATTGAAAAATATAGTTATTGGATGAGTG